TCCTCCTCCTCCTCCTCCTCCTCCTCCTCCTCCTCCTCCTCCCTCCTCGCCTCCCTCCTCTATCCTCCCGCGGCGACCCGTCCCTCAGCAGCCCAGCGCGCGATGGATCGACGTGGCGTCTTCGACCTTGACCTGCCTCGGGGAGCTGCCCTGGCTTTTCGTACTGCACACGCGGGCCTTCGTGGGTCTGCCCCCGCGGCCACGGGCGCGCCACCACACGAGGAAGGTCAGCGCCCCAGTGCTGCTCGGCCTCGTGAAGTCGGTGTGCTGCGACAGCGACTGCCCTAACACATTCAAGACCGAGGACACGCATGTGTCCGACGCGTGCTGGACACGTGTGCTATTCATGTCGTCCTTTCTAGGCGTACGCGAAGTACGGGCGGTCGTGGAGGCCTCCAACATATCGAGCGACAGACTCAGTTTGGACGCTACGGTCCACCGCATACTCTGAGGCGGGGGACGAGGAGGAAGGAGGAAGGAGGAAGGAGGAAGGACGAAGGAGGAAGGAGGAAGGAGGAAGTAGGAGAGAGGAAGGAGGAGGAGGAGGAGGAGGAGGAGGGAGGGAGGAGGGAGGAGGGAGGAGGGAGGAGGAGCAGGGCAGAGGCATGGGCACCTCTTCCTCCTCTGACCCCTCGGCGGCACCCCCGCGGGCGGCGCCCGCCAGAGCGCGGCTACCCTGGGGGTGCACCGACATGGTCTACCTCGTTGCACACACGGTCGTCGGAGACCTGGTACAATACTGGGTGGCGAGATGTCCTGCGTAAGGTGCGGCTGCTCTGTGGATACAGGCCTCAAGATTGGCTGCTTGGACAAGGGAGGAGGAGGAGGAGGAGGAGGAGGAGGAGGAGGAGGAGGAGGAGGAGGAGGAGGAGGAGGAGGAGGAGGAGGAGGAGGAGGAGGAGGAGGAGGAGGAGGAGGAGGGGGGGGGGACCGGCTCAGGGATGGGGGGAAGGGGAAAGGAAACATCGACCTGGAATCGGCGATGCATCTCCGAGAGAGATCTGGGCCAGGCGCCCGCATGTCTACAAATGTGCGCAAAGCTTGAAGTTTGGCAAAGGGTATCGCAAGCACCCAAGAAGGCGAAGGGCGCAAATAATGTCTTCATCCAGAGGGGTGCCAAGTACGAGGCGTGCTCAGGGACCAGGTCGTGGTCTCGAGGATGGTGGACCTCTCCTCTGAAGTCCCAGAGCTGGCCCTCTTCGCAGCAATCTCCATCAGCCTCGTCGCCGTGGGAGACATTATCGTGCAGCTGCTGGGTCTGAGTATCGGAGGGGCAGTTTCATCCGCGGCCGTCTCCACACGTTTCGCGGCCGAGGAGTACGCCTTCCTTTCCGACTCAGGGCGACAAAAAAGAGAAGGGGTCGACCCACACCTCATCAAGGGCCTCATCCAGTGGCTACGATACATTGACGGTATCGCTATCTGCTCGTTCTTCTATTGCTCCCCATGCCTCGCACACTTCGTCAAGTCCATGATCACAGGACCTGTGCTGAAATGTATGTACATCAATCGTGGTCTTGTCAAGTTTCAGGCACGTCGTTTCATCTCGACTCACATATTTTTAGGCAATCTCTATCGTAGGTTTGAAAAAGGCAATCGAAACTGGCTTCGGAGTCCACGCGGTGAAGAACAAGCATCAAGTGTACTACCGTGGTTGGGGGCTCTTCCTATGGCGTTGCCAAAATTCAAAATTACGCGATTGGGGAAACTTGCACAAGCACGGGCTGCTGGGCTGTCACCGGCTGTCACGTACATCGTTCTCATGGAGTGATTCGTTGAGTTTCACAAAGAAGGGTATCCAGTTGAGCCACTGCGTAAGCTACTGTATTCAGCACCACCTATGCGACCAGTATTCCTGGCTCGAGCCTCTTGGCGGTCGCTCCATCAATTTCTTGGACGCGAGGGCTTTGGGACGCCCAAGATGGGCAAGCAGAAAGGTACCCAGTCGGGCCAGTTCAGCAATGGCGGCCAGCCCTACGGTGCATGGAAGGACCCCTACCAGCCGAAGGACCGTCAAGGTTTCCAACGGGACCTGCGCGGGCAGAAACAGCGTGCTGACCGCGATCGTGACCGTGATCGCAGCTCCCGCAGGCGCCGTCCCACATCATCCAGTTCCGAGTCTAGCATCGAGGACCGCGTCGCCCGCGCCGAGAATGTCGTGATGCGTCACTGCCCTGAGTTCCGAGAGTTTCGCCCAGTTCAAGCAGATCAGCGTCGCCAGATGGACGAAGCGATACAAGCCATCAAGCATCAGGCCGGGTTGGTGCCCCAGTCTACCCTGGGATTCCCGCCCACGCCTCCCACCTCGAGTAGGGAGCCAAGGACATCGCCGAAGCAGCCTAAGCCCTAGCCGCAGAAGCTGTCGGCAGGGAGCAGCGGAGATGCCCCTCCACCAGCCCCCGCTCTTTCCCCGATGCAGAAGGCGCTCGTACAGGCACGCCTCGGCAACAAGATCCAGATCCTTCATGGGACATTTGAGGAGCTGACGGAAAAGATCATAACCCTGTGGCCCAACGATCTCAGGGCTATCAAGACCACGGGAGAGTTCCTCACCAGCAACTCTACACAAGACTCCACCGTCCCTTTCAACCACATCACCAAGCACTGGAACATCATCACGAACCTTGACTGAGAGGACACCGACTTGGACTCTGACTTGAGCGTTCTCAATCGGCAGTTGGCGGTACCAATTGGCGTATATGTCATAATTTGAATGTGTTCAATGGTTATGGGCGGTGTAAGTGTCATGACAGCATTGGGGGAGTACCATTATACACTATTGCAAATATGGTATCGACATCTTCGTTTCAAAGTGGGACGGCTACTCAATCATTGGGGTGAAGCATATTCCCTTTCAACGCTGCATCAAACGATAGCCGACTCGAGTATCCAAGAGTTGGCGAGCACGGCACCAACTCCTATCACAAGAATGGTTCTCACTATAGTCCCGTTCATTGCACGTGTTCTGGGTCGTCGGTGAAGCTCAAAGGCATCCAGAGGGTGGGCTAGCAAGCGGTGAAACTCGTTGACGTGCTCCAGCGGGCTGAATATCGACTGTCAAAGTCTCTGGGCAGTTCACATGAGGGTCATCATCTCAGCTGGCGTCTGACGCCCAGGACACTCGGAGGTGCACGGGGCGCTCAAGCCTCAGGAGTGCGGCCCCATGCGGAACCTCTTGGGATGGCGTGCAGATAACGAGAAACTAAAGAACGCGACGGTGGTTACATAATAAGAAGAAGAAGAAGAAGAAGAAGAAGAAGAAGAAGAATCATCATCAACAGCATCATCATCAGCAGCAGCATCAGCATCCTCATCGTCATCAGCAGCATCATCATCATCATCAACATCATCAGCATCATCGCAATCATCATCATCATCATCATCCTCATCATCATCATCATCATCATCATCATCATCGTCATCGTCAGCATCATCATCATCATCGTCGTCAACTTGGCATTTCTAAAATATGCCCGGCGTGTTGGCCATCAGTGTTTAATCGCTCGTAGAACACTAGACGACGATGCAACGATGCACTGGTTTTGCGTTGCTCCTTACGTTTCTCAGCGCTTGTCAGATCACTTGGCTGCATCGTGTAACATTGCCGTCGACGACGTCCTCGGCTGCTCCTCCTGGCGAGCAGGCCTCCACATCATACCTCTACCCATCGGTCGGAAGAAGTGGGTAGAAACATGAAGTAGGAAGGCGTTGGAAATAGATCGGGTTTCCGCCCCGCCTCCTGAAGAGGAGGGAAGAGGGAAAAAACCACTCGACTCTTGAAGTAGGAAGGCGCTGAAAGTAGATTGGAATCTGGGAATCCAAAAATACGGCAGGTTCGCGTCGTGCCGACCCCAGCGTTGGTTTTTGACACCGCAGGGATCGTTCAACCTTGAACGATCGGCCGCTGCCGCAACGTCCGATCGTTCAACATCGATCGATTCTGGGTCGCCGGCGGCGTTCAACCTTGAACGCCCGCGCTGGGGTCGCCGCTGGTCGACACGACGCAAACCTACCGTACCTACTTTCAACGACCGAGGGGTACTATCGTTATCTCATGGATCCTTTGGCTCCTCCCTTGCCCTCGCTGCTGCCCTGGGCGTCGGGCCTCGGGGCCCGATGGCCGCTTGCCCCTCCTGGGGCGACCGGGCCTGCTTCGGGCCTGCTTCGGGCCGGGGTTGGACCGGTGTCTCGACAGGTGTTTCAGGGAGTGGTTGGCGCTCGTAGCTCTGAGACGGACCCCGACCCCCTCGCGTCATGAAAAAATCACGACGGGAGGTTTTTCGCTACTTTCGGCCTCTGGGGGCCCTTACCGGGCCTCGGGACCGTCAAAAAACGACTCAGGATGAAAAACCGGTCCCGGGGAAGGGGTCGGGACCTCTGGGGGTCGCGTCATGAAAAAATCATGACGTCGGGGGTCTGGGGAGAACGTGAGAGCCCAAAGAATATATGCACCACCACCACGCACGTCGACTCCTCCTCTCTCCTCTTTCCCGCGAGAGGGAGGGGGGAGGGAGGTGGTGGTGGTGTATGTATATGTTGGGGGCCCCCGAGAACGGGCGGCAGAAACAAGGAGACGGAAGCGAAGGCAGCAGGGACGACAAGGAACAGCTGTTACCAGAAAGCAAAAACATCGAAAAATGGGATCCACAGCGACGAGCCTAAAAACGCTACCAAATCTGCGCGAAAAATAGTTAACAAGTGGGCGTGCTTGAAATGAGTGGCGGGGACGCATGGGAACGTCGCTACTGGGGCCTTCAATGGAGCTCCCTATGGGGCCACGAACCGTGTACAGGGTGTGCCGAAAATGGGTGGCGGAGACGTATGGAAACGTCGCCACTGGGGCATTAGGTGGAGCTCCCTATGGGGCCACGAACCGTGTGAGGAGTGTGACAAAATGGGTGGCGGGGACGCATGTGAACGTCGCCACTGAAGCATCAGGTGGAACTCCCCATGGGGCCACGAACCGTGTGAGGGGTGTGCCAAAAAGAGTGGCGGGGACGCTTGCCCCCAAAAGCCCCACGAGGCCCCCGAGAAGCCCAAATCAGGCCTCAAGAGGACCGCAACAGGCCCCCGAAAGACCCCAAGACACCCCCAAGACCGCCTCCGAGAGGCGTCCAAGAGACATCCCAGAAGACACCCCCAGGCATCCAGGAAGCGCTGACCTACAACCTCGGCAAGGTGGCAGGATGAGCCGAAGGCCGCTAGATCTGCAGCCGCCAGTGCTTGTCACAGGGGCGCACGGTGTGCTAAAGCTTCTACTGTTTCGACAATGAAAAATCATAAACGCTCGCCATCCGCATCACAGGCACTGATGGCCTCCAAGATGGCCACCAACAGGGCAAAAATGGCATCCAAAACGGACAAGATGGCCACAAGACGACTCAAGATGCCCTCCCGAGACCTCCTCAAAAAGACTCCACGAGGGCATTCAGGAGGCCACAATCCTTGATGAGCATTAGGTGTTGCAGTCACTTTAGCGTTCTCGCCGTTTCGGGCTTCCGACGCGCCAAGACGGCCCCATTGGCCCCCAAGATCGCCCCAAGACGGCCCATTAGAACTCCAAGGGGCCCGCAAGACGTCCCGAGGGCGCGCAAAGATAACTTGATCGCCCAGCCTTGTCATACCCCTGATGGTTCTAAAAATGGAGGGCGATTTCTTTCCAAACTGAGCTCCCACGGCTCACGGGACGCTCGTCGTTCGCGGGGGGGGCGCTTCGCGCCTTGAAACAGCGAAGCTTGTGGGGACAAATTGGGAGAGGACTTGGGACGGGAAGGTGAACTGCAGCATCGCTGATACTTCTTGGGTGTAATAGTATCCTCCCCGCAACTATGCTCCGACACCTCCATCTTCGTTACCCTCTTTCTGCTACTCCTCTTCCACATCATGATGCTCCTCCTCACCATCATCACCCAACTCCTCCCGCTCCTCCTCATCATCATCCTCCTTCTCCTCCTCCTCCTCCTCATCCTCCTCTTCTTCCCCCCCCCCGATCCAGCTCCTAATCCCGATACACCCCTAAGCAACTCTCCCAGCACATCTAAGCAACTCATCCCTGTCGCATCCCCGAGACGTGTCGGCCGGCAGCGCGGGCGGGGCGTTTCGCCTAGAATTCCTCACACCTGTGATCCTGAAACTCGAAAGTTACAACTGCTTGACGGATGGAAGACGGTCCGCTTTCAAACTGCGGTTCTCGCCTGTTCATTGTAAACATCTGCGACCGATTCAAGGATGGAGGGCGGGTGGCTTTCGAAATGTGGCTCTCGTCTTGGCGCCGCGCACATTCGTCGTAAAGGTGTGCAACAGCTCCACGGGTGGAGGGCAGCCATCCTTCAAAACGCGACTCTCGCCATAGCGCCGCGCACGTTCGTCAAACAAGTTCGCACAAGCTTCACTGATGAAGGACTGCTCTTTTTCACGATGTGGCTCTCGCGTTAGCGCCGCGCACATGAGTTTTGAAAGTGTACAACAGTTCCAAGAATTCGCATAGCCGAAGTCCCTGGAATGGTTTCTGGCAAGATTTCGGTTTTTCAGACGCAACAGTCACGTCGATTTGCGGCGCTGAAGTCCCAAGAATGGCGTTCTGGCACGATTTCGGATTCTCTGTACGGAACAAACAATTTTATTCGAAATGCTGACGCCCTAAATGTCTTGACACAATTCACGAGTTTCAAACGTTTGTCTTCCAATGGAGAACTTCCCGCAGTGAAAATGAACTCATACAGGGCCCTGCGAAGGGGAACTCGGAGGGAGGGTGGAATGTAGCATTGCTGATGCGTCTTGGGCTTACACGGGTCCTCCTCCTCCTCCTCCTCCTCCTCCTCCTCCTCCTCCTCCTCCTCCTCCTCCTCCTCCTCCTCCTCCTCCTCCTCACCTTCCTCCAACGCATCGGTTTCCTCCCCCGCTCCTGCTCATCCTCTGCCTCCTGCTGACGCGTCTGCCCCTCGACGTCGTGCAGTTCGCCTGCGGTGCAGCGCCGCGCTGGGGGGCCGAGCGAGCTGGCGGGGTGCGTTCGGACCGCGAGGTCCCCGCGCTGCGGCCGGGGAGCTCGGACCGCGAGGCCGTGGACGTGGCGAGGCCCCCCGCCCGCGGCCCTTTTTCTGACAAACGAGCGGCGCAGCGTCCTCTCCAAGCAATGGGCCGAGCGCCTCCGCGACAGCTCGGGCGGTGCGGGGGGGCAGCAGCCTCCGATCGCCTCCTCGCACCAGGCGCGATGGACGAGTGACACAGGGCGATGGCAGGAGGGCGAAGAGAGAGAGAGGAAAAGCACGGCGAGGGCATCAGAGAGGGAACCGTTCGAGAAGGAGTTCCAGAGTCTGGAAGCTGCTGGAACACCAATCGAGGCCTGGCCATGGGTATCGCCGCCGCCCCCATCAGATAATGCATCCCCCATGGTCTGAAGCCTCGTGGGCACGTTGCTCAACCAACGCCCCAACCTCCACCATGGACAACCACCACCACCAAGTCTTGCCAGACCTCCAACGGATTGATTTTATGACCCCGCGAGCCCAAAGAGGTCTCGACCCCTTCCCTGCAGGGGATTTCGTGCGCGAGAAACGTACTCGCATCCGCGGCCTCATGGGCCGGGCCAGTGGGCCGCGACCCTGCGCCCACGGGGCGTGATTTCGCGGATGCCTCGCGCGGAACGTATCCGTGCGACCGCGCATCCGCGGGATCGCGCCCCCCAACCCAGACCGCGAGGGCGCGGGTACGGATATGTTCGGCGCTGGTGAAAGTTTCTCACGGCGGCGAGCGAGGGCGGGAAGTCAGGAAGCGGAGGCCTTGCCAGAAGGCGGCGGGGCTTCTCAGAAGCCCCCTGGCCTTCTGAGAGCTTTCTGCGTCTTCCGTGCAGCCTTAGAAAACTTCTCAGAAGGCCAGAACACTTCGGAACCTTCTGAGAGGAAGGCCCGCCCCCTCTCACTTCCACCCCGAGCTGGCCGCCGATTCTCGTCACGAATCGATGCATGATGGTCGGAAACTAACGAAACCCCTGGCATCGGAGTGCATGTCGGATCGGGCCGCATCGACACGGAGGCAGTATCAAATCGAATCGAATCGCCAAGATATCAAAATCGAATCGGATCGAGCTGAGAAAAACTCGGCATCCAATTGGATCGATCGGATCGGCATGTGCCCCACTGGCATGGTTGGTGGCAATGTCTATCAAAATCTCCAGCGGACTCGCTGTTTTAATCCGTGAGCGCCTGGGCTGACGGCTCCTTCCCGGGCCGATTGGTCGTCCCAAGTGGCGGCCCTGGGGCCTGCAAAAAGGCCTGCTGACGACGAAACCACGACAAACCTCCGGCGCGATTTCTCCGAGTCGCCAGAGGTGGGAGGACGTTCCCTCTGCCTAGGACACTACTGGAGGGAAGGAGAACGAGGACCATGACCAACACCGAACGCGGAAACGTCGGCGTCGGCCTTGGCATCCGTCCATCTTGGTCGTCGTCAATTCGTGGATCATCCTCGCGAATCGGCAACGCCCGGCATGGACCATGACCATGATCGGCGTCGACAAGATCCCGCGAAGTCTTGGCTATGGTACTCCAGATTTCGTAATAAAGGGAGGGGGGTCTCATTTCGGGGGGGCTCTTCCAGGCCATCTTGGAGGGCCTGGGGAGGTCTGGGGACGATGTTTTGGAGGGTTCTCCCACGGGGGGGGTCTGAAATGGCCTGTCTTGGAGGGTCCAGACCCCCCCCCCCTTTTATTACAAAATCTGGAGTAATCGTACTCCTTCCCTCGAACTGCGACCGAGGTCTCCGCCGCATGCAGACATCGCCGAAGCTGCTCGCGGCCGGCAACGCGCGGGCGCGCCAAAGGCGGAACGCGGCGTAAGCTGCCACCGCCGCCGCCCCAGCGCGCGCCCGCGAGGGCAGGTCCTCAAAACCTTTTGCGGCCACAATCGTATCCGCCACCGCCGTTGCGCGGCGCCTCTACGACCCAAGAATGTGGTTCTTTCTGGGATTCCTGATCCCCTCAGGCGCCTCCGGAGAAGCCTATGGGGGCCTCGTGGGGGGCAGCCAGAAGCCACAGGACCTCCGAAGACCTCTGGACAAGAGGAAGACGACCCAAGGCTGCTGCGTCTCAGCGTGAGTCTGAGCGCGAGTGAATCTTAACATGAGTGCTGCACTCGGAATGCACGAGTGGGTCTGAACAAACCATGCGTGGGCCATGCAACAGGGAGGCGGCGGGACGGGGGAGGAAGGAGGACGGACACGGAGGCATCGCACCAATGAGAAGAAGCCCACGCCAGACCCTCGAAATGGAGAACATCGGCTGGGGAACTCCCAGGGCGCGGGCGCCCGCGCGCCCACCCCCGCGCCCGCCGGTCCAGATCGCGAGGTCAGGGCCGCGCCCGCGCGATCTGCAGCCGCGCAACCGAGCCGACTCGCACGGCGGAGCCAGGCTGGAGGCGCCGACGCCTCGGCCAAAACCGAGCCGGCAGCGCCCACAAGCTTTCCACAGGCCGCGCCGGCGCGCTGGACAACACCTGGCAGCGCGGCCACGCCGGAGCGACGTACGAAACTGTGCCGGCCGGGCTTTGCCACCCTGGGCCGGCCGAGCCGGCGCCCTTCGCACGCTCTGCACGGCCGCGCCGCCGGGCATCACTGTGCCCGCGGCGCCGACGTCCCCGAGCAATGCCATGTTGAGCAGGCCGCGCCGGCACGCTGGTCGTGGGCAAGCGTGGGGACCCCGGAGCGGGGCCGGGGGCGCGGGCTGGGCGGCCGGGTGAAGAAGCGGAGCGGCGAGAGCGGCGGCATCCGCGGCAGCGGACCGCGCCTCAGCGCCGCGCGCCCCTGACCGCAGCAAGCAGCGCCCCGTCGCGGCCAACGCGCAGTGACTGGCGCAGCGCGCGCCCGTCTCCTCGGGAACTGCGGACAGGTCTGGCTCGAGAAGGGTGATCTCGATGGCCGGGGCGCCTCAGGCCCAGCTGTGGGGCCTCCGGTCGGGCCGTGGCGGCCCCAGGTCCAGCGAGACCAGCCTGGTCCAACGAGCCCCTTCGAGGAAAGAGAACTGCTGCACATACACCGATTCTGGCCAGGCCCAGCCTGGGCCCAGGATCGGTGCATGCGCTCTCATGCCTCTGCCGGGAAGGCACATGCACCGGTCCTGGGGCCAGGCGGGGCCTGGCCAGCATCGGTGCATGTGCATATTTGGGGAGACAAAAAGGTACCGATACTGCTACTCCCCAGACCTCTCCAGGGGTGCGTTCTGACCAGGATTTCGAGGCGAATCCAGCAGTGGCGAAGAGGGCCGCCCAGGAGGCCCAAAAAGGGGAAAACGAGGAGAGGGTAGAGGTATGGGTACCTTTTCCTCCTCCGAATCTTAATTCTCGGTCGCCCGACGCGTCTGGCGGCCTCCGACGTCCCCGGGCGCGCCCGCACGAAGACCCGGCACGCCGCGGGCGCGCTCTGCGGCGGCCCGCGCGCCCCGTGGGCGGTGCGGCAGGCGCTGCCAGCGCGGCGTGCGCGCCGACCTTTCTCAGCGGGGCCCCGCGCGACAGGGGCGCCGCTGGCCTCGTCGCCTGGACGCCATCGCTCGGACGTGCGTTTCCCGCGCCGTTCTCGACGTCGCGCGCGCCCGTTTCGAGAGGGGCCCCACGATGCTGCGCAGTGGTCCCCGCCGAGGGAGACAGGCACAGGTCCGAGCGATGCCAAGGCTTCCTTCAGGACAGGACCATACAGTAGACGGAGATATCCCTGGTTCCGACACGGCACTGCGCCGAACGCAACGGCCGCGCTGTCTCTGGACGTGTCCACCCCTATGGGATGTGTCTGCATACGTGACGACGCCCAGTGTGTCGAGAGGCACTGTGTGGCTAGAAAGTGAGAACGGTATGTGGCACATGCCCCAATTGGTCTTCTGCTGACTCTAGTGGCAGATAGACTTTGTCCTTCAAGCCCGGAAGCGCCGACGCGCTCTGCGCGGAGCCGAAGTGGGCGTGGCGCGGGGAAGGGTGAAGGTTGCAATCGAACAGATATAGCATCCCCCATAATCCCCCCCCCAGGGACCCCAAACTGGCAATTTGACCCCCCCCCGGGCCGAGCGCGACCCCGGACCGAACGCGCCACGGGGGAGCGGAGGGCTCCAAAACTGACCAAAAAATATCCAAAACGCTCCCCAGACGGTCCCAGGGGGCCACGATTCGCCGACATATCGCTCCTGGACGCCCACGATGGCCTCCAGGCGGCCTCCGAAGCTGCCAAGACGCCCTAGAAGGCCCCCAAGATGCGCCCCAAGAGGGTCCCAAGAAACAAAAATCGGCCCACCCTGCGAAAAACAAGCATTTTTCGCATGCTCGCCGATTCGGCTTTCACAGCGTCCACAACGGGCAAAGAAACCTTCAATATCGCCCCTAGATGGCCAAAGGGGCCCCCAAGAAGGGTCGAAGAGGTCCAACAACAGCCCACGAAGCCCCCAAGACAGCCCAAGAGGGCCCCCACACGGCTCCAAGACGGAGTCCAGAGTTTACCTTTTAGAGCCTTCGGCCCCAAGACGCCCCCAGCCTGCCCCAAAAACCCCCCAAGAGGCCCTGAGGGACCCCTCTCGAAAGGCCCCAAGACTTGGCTCAAGATGCCTCGAAGCGGCCGGATATGGCCTGCAGAAAGGCCAAGATGCCACCAGAAGGCAACAAAAGAGCACCAAGAGGTACGATAACAGCAACGAAGCAACAAAAACGATGTCGAGCGCCGTGTCATGATTCGGACAAGCCTCTTGAAATGCAGTCCTGGAGGCGCAATAGTTTATACAGGGGTCGGCGGATGTGGCGTGAACCTATAGAATATACAGCCATATCACTGTCGTCTACTTGACAGCGCAAAAGACGCCCATTCCCCGAGCAATTGTCTGGTGTCGTGCGTACTTCCCTTTCCCCAGATGAACCAAGGTGCTCCAAGGCGGTCCAGATTTTCTCAGGCTGGCCTCGCCTCTTCCTCCTCCTCCTTCTCCTCCTCCGCTGCTCTGGTCGAGAGGATTCGTTTGAATGTGAGGAGTGTGTGGCGGCATCCTTGTTTCGCACGCACACGCAGAGAGTCGAATCGACACGATAGCTTTGCACCGAAAAAAAAGAAAAGTGCACATGCCCGAGCGATGCCCAGTCGATGGTGCTCGTTCGGAGTCCGGAGTTGCCCCTCGGTGTTGGCGCCAGGCGCTGGTAGCGCCAGGCGGACTCCAGCTTCGCGCGCTCCCCGCTGGACTGGAGAGCGCCGCTGCCAGCCGTCTGGTTGAGAGAGGCGAGCGGCCGCCACCGCAAGACGACGGCCGCTCGGGTCGCGCGCTCGGACGGCGGAGGCTGCGGATGCTTGCCGTCGCTCGGGCGTCCACTCCCTGTGCATGCTTCGGTGTCGTGCGTGCGTTTTTTTCGCTCGATGGTCCAGGATGGCCCTCGGCGGTTCTCGCCGAGACAAAAATGCACACGCCCGAGCGATGCCAGGGATGTCGCAGCCCCTACCGGGCTCGCGGCACTGAGCACCCGAGCCGCCGGCGCCCTGCCCGCCTCCCGCTCGCGGGCGCTCTGCCCGGGCTGCTCGCGCCCCCTCGGAGACCTCTGCTGCCAGCGTGGCGCTTGCTGCTGCCGCGCTTGGCGATCGCCGCGCTGCTGCCCGACTCGCTCATGCAGCTCTCTTTTGTGCGCGCGGCGCAGAGATCGGCGGTGGACAAACCTCCCGTTAGTAGACCTCCCCTTAGTGAAAACGGCCTGGGGCCGAAACCGACGGACCTGGACCCGCAAGAATGACGGCCCCGACGCCCTCTCGCAAACCGAAAACGGACAAGTCCTCAATCGACGTGCCAGGGTAGGAGGTCTGTCCACCCCCGAAAATAGATTACGCGGCGGAGCCGCTCGCCAACGCAAGCCACGTCGTGCTCCCCCACGCGGCTCGATTCTGCGCAAAAGACGCCGCGCTCCACCTCTATCTGTGTCTCCAGGCAGTTCACAGGCTACATCTCATTTGTGCGCACACGCTCACGTGGTCTTCTGGCGCTCCAGAACTTGCTTCGATCTGTTCGATGACGCTTCCTCCAGTATTACCCCTCTCGTGTGTTGACGCCCTGGCTGTTGAAGCTTGGTGGCGTCCTCCGACTCCGAACCCCACTCGTGCTACGAGTCCAGCTCGTCCGACTCCGGCGTCCGCCGAGTCCGAATCCGAACCAGCGCCCTCCGAGCCTCCACGGGCGCCCGCCGACTCCGCCCAGGACGCTCCAGCTGCTCCAGCCTCGGCGCCCGACTCGGCGGCGTCCTCCGGGCCTGGGCCCGAATCCGGGCCCTCGGGGTCCGAGTCCGAACGCGCGTCCTCCGAGACCGCCTCGGAGTCGGCGTGGGCCCCGGCCGAGCTCAGGGTTCGGGTCTGGGCTCGGGCTCGGGTCTGGGCAAATTAGGCGATTCGCGGTCTGGGCATGGGCTCGGGGCTGCATCTGACGGGGCCGCCCAGGCCGAGAGTCAACGCTGCGGGCGGATCGTGATGACGATGGTGATGATTACGATGGTGAGGACGGTGATGGTGCTGATGGTGATTGGGGGTGATGATGGGGGTGATGATGGTTGCGATGATGATCTCATTAACGAAGTCCATTTCACCAGTATCGAAAACCAGGAAGAGGGCCATCAAGGCGGTGCGGCGTCGCTGCTTTTCGGCGTCGTGCGCGATACATGTTCAGGCTCCAGGCTGGAGCCTGATACATGTTCAAGCTCCAGGGGTGCCTTCCCGAGCTGAGCTCGGGGAGGCATCCCTGGACCTCCGCGCCAGGGGTGGCCCTCTTGGTGGTGCACATGTCAGCTTCCGCCTCGCCAAGCTTGCGGCGCCAGGCCGGGCCCCATCGCCTTATCGCTATACCACCGATTGTCCCGCTCCTCGCGGAGCAGCGAACTACACTGACGTCCGGCACGTCGAGGCCGGCGCGCGCCTCCTTCTTTGCAAGGAGGTCACGGTGGCTTCTCCCCAACCCGGGGAGAAGAGGACGACAGAGCACGGCATCAACAACGAGGTCGGGGGGATTGTCCCCCCTCCCCCTCCCCCCCCCCACACACAACCCCCAAACCCCCGCGGAGCATCGCCTGCATTCAGAGGAGCGAAGAACGGCATCAACACAATTTCTTGGAGGTCGGCGCGGACTTCTTGGATCGGCGCTGGACCCCCCTCTCCCTGCGCGGAGCGCGCCGGGGGCGGCGCCGGAGGCGCCGCCCGGGGGGGGGGGGGGGGGGCGCAGCTCAGATCCAAGAAATCCGCGCGGAACTCCGAGGAGTTCTTCGAGCATCGGCGACGCATCGGCGACGTCGGCGTGGAGAAGGGGCGGGCGCCGCACCGCGCCGCAGCGTCGATGCCCCGGCGCTGCGGCGCGATCCTCCGAGCCCGCCTGCGGCAGACCTGGCGCGCTGGCCTCCGACGCCGCGTGGCTCCCGGCAGCCTTGGGCGATCGCCGCTCTGCTGGTGGAGGCTTGTTGGCGGCGCGCACAAGGGGGGTGGAGGGAGGGGGGAGGGCTTCTCAGAAGGGGGCTGCTTCTTAGATGACGAACGAGCAACACACACCCATACCCATAGGGGGGTCGTTGGGAGGAGGACTGGCTATGGGTATGGGTGCGGGTTGTCGGACCCTGGGGAGCGCTCCCGTTCGAGCGGGGACCCCCATCCGATAATACACACCCATAGCCCTCTCCGACCCCTCCATGGGTATGGGTGTGTGTGTGTGCTGTTGGCTCGTCATAAAAAGGCGCGGGCCTTACTTCTATACACAAAGCCCGCGCCTTCTGAGAAGCAGGGGTGCTTTTTATAAGAAGCCCTCCCCCCTCCCCCCACCCCCCTCTGCGCGTGGCTGAGCTTGGGCGTGCGCACAGTCGGGCCCCCCAGGTCTTCCCGGCTGAGCTCTCCGCAGGCCCCCCCGGAGTAGCCCCAGCTGGCCTCGGCAGGTTCCCCCCAGTGGGCCAGAGCGGCCTCGGCACCGCAGCCCTCGGGCACCAGGCGCCCCCGGGGCGCTGCCGTGTGGAGCCTGCCCTGGATGGCTCGGGGGGGCCGGTCGAGGCCAGCCGAGCCTACGCGGGGGGCCTGTCGAGGCCAGCCGAGCCTACCTGGGGGGGGCCTGTCTGTGCGCGACCTCCCTGGTGCACGGAGCGCGCCAGGGGCGGCGCCGGAGGCGCCTCCAGGCGCGTCCAGCGCAGGTCCAAGAGATCCGCGCGGACCTCCCAAGGTTTCTGTTTCTCCAAATGCTCTTCGCGAACACGCAGACCGTTCGATATCGGCTGGCTCTCCCAGCCACTGGCGGCGTGCCTCCCCGAACGCCTGCGCCGAGGGCCGCCGCAGCGCCAGCGCGGCGGGGGCCTGCTGCCGTGCGCACCAGCCCCGCCTGGGCAGTACCTGGACCCACGTGGACGACGGCGGAGGCGCGCGGCGGCGCGGTCGAAAGATAGAGGCCGGGGCATGCGCAAGGGTCAGATGCTCGTTCTGGGGACCTCCCTGGAGCCACTCGCTCCACTCGCGTGCCGGTGCTGCGCCGCACGTCCGCCGAGCCTGCGCCGAGCTGGGGGCGAGCGGGAGCGGAGCGGAGCAGATCCCCCCGGGCGCGGGCCCCCGGGAGGCCCCCGGCACGAGCATCCGAGCGAGGGGGCGCCGGGCGCGGGGGCGCCGCGGCGCCGCAGCGGCGCACGGGGCCGGCCGCGGCATGCCCCATCAGCTCCAGCCTCCTGCGGGCGCCCCGCCGCCGCCGACACCCGGGGGCGCCCACGGGTCGTATGGCGCCTTGCCGCCCTTCGCGTAGGCGTCCGGACCTGCGGCCTTGCCCGAGCCCTTCGCCTCCTCCGGGCCCCAGGCGCCGGCCGCGCCAGGAGCCCCTGCCCAGCCTTTGGCGGCACCAGCGCCGTCCCAACCCTCGCCCTTGCCGCTCCAGTCGCCCTTGCCGCTCCAGTCGGCCTTGCCCTTGGAGTAGCCGTCCCACATCTCCCAGCCGCCACCCTTGCAGCCGTCCTTGCCGCAGCCGCCCTTGACCTCGCCGGCGGCGCCCTTGCCGTAGCCCTTGTCGTAATCCATGGGGTACCCCTTGTCGTAGCCCTTCTTCCCCCCCTTGTCATACCCTGAGTCGTGTGCCGCCTCGCACCCACCCTTACCGTACCCCTTGTCGTACCCTTTGTCGTACGGTCCCATCTTCCCCCCTTTGTCGTACGGTCCCATCTTGCCGTACATGGCTCCGTAATCGCCCCAGCCGCTGTCCCCCCAGCCACCACAGCCCCAGTCCTTGCCTTTGCCCTTGCCCTTGTCCGCCGCCCACGGATCGTAGCCCCAGTCCTTGCCCTTGCCCTTGTCCTTGCCCTTCGGGGCGGCCTCCACGACGGTCATGGCCTGCGTCCACTCGTCGTAGCTCGACCTGAAGATCTCGATGTAGCGCCCCCTGATGTCCTTCTTCTGCCTCTCCTCTGAGGGGGAGCGATGGAAGCAGATTGGCTCCTGGAGGAGGGGATCTCGATCTGGAATCGGCGATGCGTCGCCGATAGATCGGCGACAGGCCCCCGCCAGCGAAACCGCACGCTCCTCGGCGGGGTGGGCCAGCAGGCCTCTATCGGCAATCAGTGGGCGATCGGGGGTCGATGCGTTCCCCCTGGGCCTATCCCCCCCACCACGCTACCTCGCTCGCGTTTCCGGGCCAGGATAGCTTGGGCCTCCGGCGGCCGTTCGGGACGCTTCTGGCCCCCCCAAGAGCTCTGGACTGAGAAAGACGCCCGCAGACGCTCCAAAAACTCCTACGGAGCCCAAGCCCTCCCGAAAGCGCTCGAAAGCTCCCCCCCCCCCTGATCGAGCCTGTCACACCCCCCCTAACCCGACATCCGCCGACACGAATTCCCAAATCCGCGGCCCCAGTTGGGCGTGGCTTAATGGGGGGGTCACAAATGGGGGGTCAGAAGAGGTCCCCTTTCGTGCCCCTTTCGGGCCCCTCCAGAGCCCCAGGGGGCTCGTTTAGGTACCGTTTGGGTACCTTTTCGGACCACGCTCGCCACCCTTCCATTTATGACCCCCCCATTACGCGGCGCCCAACCCAGAGGCCCCGACCCCTTCCCTGGGACCGAAATTCCCCGCCGGATATCCATTTTTGACGGCCCCGCAGGGGGCCCGAGAACGGGCCCCCGAGGGCCGGCGAGGAAGACCGCCCAGGTGTTGGGGGTGCTTGGAGAGGGGCACCGACGCCAACACAGGGGGGAAGGATGAGGGGGGGGAGGAGGAGGAGGAGGAGGAGGAGGAGGAGGAGGAGGAGGAGGAGGAGGAGGAGGAGAGGAGGAGGAGGAGGAGGAGGAGGAGGAGGAGGAGGAGGAGGAGGAGGAGGAGGAGGAGGGAGGAGGAGGAGGAGGAGGAGGAGGAGGAGGAGGAGGAGGAGGAGGAGGAGGAGGAGGAGGAGGAGGAGGAGGAGGAGGAGGAGGAGGAGGAGGAGGAGGAGGAGGAGGAGGAGGAGGAGGAGGAGGAGGGAGGAGGAGGAGGAGGAGGAGGAGGAGGAGGGAGGAGGAGGAGGAGGAGGAGGAGGAGGAGGAGGAGGAGGAGGAGGAAGGGGAGGAGGGGAGGAGGAGGAGGAGGAGGAGGGAGGAGGAGGAGGAGGAGGAGGAGGAGGAGGGGGAGGGGGAGGGGGAGGGGCGTGGGGAGGAGCCCAGCGCCGGCCCAGGAGCTGCACGTCCGGCCCGTTCGGGGCTGCCTCCGCGGGGGGAAGATGCTCCTAGATCCTGGTGTTGGTGGTGGTGCTGCGGCCCCCTCGGAAGCCGGGCCGTTGATACCATCACCGGGATCGGGATCCTCTTCCCTCGGTGGCGGCACACCGCCGATGCTGGTGTTGGGGTCAACCTCTATAGGCCTCTGAGGATTCGTAAAAAAAAAGTCGTGGAGGGTTTGGCTGTCCTCGCTGCGGGGCCCCCCGAGGCCCCGACCCCTTCCCGATGGGGGTGGCTCTTCGCCCCGAGCCGTTCTCTGCCGGTCCCGCGGCCTGGCGCGGGTGGCCCCCCCCGAGGCCGAACACGGCCCAGAGGACGAGAACGACGACGAAGACGACGAGGACAACGACGACGACGACGACGACGACGACGGGGACGAGAACGACGAGGACGACGAGGACGACGAGGACGATGACGACGACGACGACGACGAGGACGAGAACGATGACGACGACGAAGACGACGACGACGACGACGACGACGACGACGACGACGACGACCACCACCACGGGGACGAGAACGACGACGATGACAACGACGAGGACGACGACGACGACGACCACGACGACGACGACGACGACGACGACGACGACGACGACGACGACGACGACGACGACGACGACGGGGACGAGAATGACGACGATGACGACGACGACGACGACGGGGACGAGAATGACGACGATGACGACGACGAGGACGACGAGGACGAGAACGACGACGACGACGAGGACGAGGACGAGAACGACGACGACGACGACGAGGACGACGACGACAGCAACGTCGGGCGGTCTCCGACATGGGATCAGGGCAGATTGGGGTCGGAGGATTGCGCCGGATCACCGATGCATCGGCGACGTCGGCGGTGCACCCGCGACGTCGGCGTGGGGAAGATTGGGCTCCGCATCGAGCCGCATCGCAGGCGGCTGGGGGCCTTCTGCGGGCACCAAGGCCTGCAACAGAACCGTGCCAGCATCGCACTACTGGTCTCGTGGTGGCCGGAGTCGGCAACTCCCATCGGGCGGGAGGTCATGGGGGGTGACCTAGGGGGGGCGAAGAAAAAAGCCATGAAGGGGGCCCTTCAGGGCCCGGGCCAGCAGGCCTCCTTCAGGGGCCAGCAGGGGGCCAGAAAGAGCCCGAGTGGGCATCTTTGGGGAACTTGTGTCTTTACCTCCCAGGAGGTCACCCCCCATCACCACCCGCCCGACCGATCCTTTGAGCGGGGGCAGACAGTCCGAGCATTCCTACAGGCCTGCCACGACATTTTCTAAGAACGAAAAACCGTGCTCGTCGAGCACAACACCGACTGATGTAAACAGGACAGTCTCGTCCAGAACTTTTGTTTGAAGAACATGTCATGCCAACCTCAAAAGGCTCTTACAACATTCTTGACCGGGCCTATAATAAAGTAAAAGAAAACGCGACCAAAAATAAAATGTTGGCGCTCCGCGCGGATTTCTTGGATCTGCGCTGGACCCCCTCCCTGACGCGCGGAGCGCGCCAGGGGCGGCGCCGGAGGCGCCGACGGGGCGCCCAGCGCGAATCAAGGAAGTCCGCGCGCAGCGCCAAAACATTATGCCTCTCGCGTTTTTTCTCCTTCGAAAAAGCGAGTCAGGACGCTTCGCCACTGCTCTTAGGTTGGGCATGTCCTCCTACAGGCGGACTCTGGAGGAAGAATGAAAAGATTGTCAAACTATACTCGAAAATCATCAAAAATAGTCGAGAGATCGTCCCCGGACTATTCTTTTACTACCTTCGAATACTCCTCCTGCAGAGGGACATGCCCGATTCAACTCTGCCGGCATCCTCCAGGGCCGTCTCCGCCATCTCCAGGGACGGGAACACCACGTACGCGTCGCCCGTGGGCCTGCCGTCCGCGCCGCGGCCCAGCGCCACCTGCACCTCGTCCACGCCGTAGCCCTGCAGGAAGGCCACCACGTCGGCGGTGCCGCACTGGAAGGGCACGCCTCGGGGCGCTGCCGGGAGGTGCCCCTCGGACCCCAAACCCTGAGATCCTGGCGTCTCAGTGTTTGCGAGCCGGGCGGCGTCGCCTTTGTTCCGAGCCCCGGGAGCCTCGCAGATCGATCCCGCTCGCAAGATGGCGCAGCACGGTGGGGTCTGGGGCTCCGGGCGCGATGTTTAGGGCGACGAAATCTGTACATGTCCACTGCTCCCTGGCCATGAGCATCCTGAACCCAGCAGTGGTGTACACCTTATGCGATGCTTAAGAAAACTTATTTTTTCGGCCAGAGTCTCGATTATTCTTAATATTTCAACGTAGATCTTAATATTATAATAGAAATGTTGGGTTTTTATTCAAGTTCTGCGACTATGAATTTCTTAACCCATGATTTCTTAAGCATTTCGCAGGGTGTATACGCCACGCCCTCCTGGCGTGGCCGGGAGGGCGTATACAGAACTCCTGGGTTCAGCATGGGCCTGACCAGGGAGCAGTGTATATGTATACAGCTCGTCGCCCGAATGTTCTGCGATGTTGCAATTTTTTTCGCTACGTCGGACATCAGGGAATCTCCCACGACACGTTTTTTGTTCCGTCCGGCGCAAGCTCCTGGATTTCGGCCCTCGGTGGGGCACGCTGCTGGGCCCTGGGGAGATGACGAAGGGATCCGTTGTGTTGCATCATCGGGGGACCTTGTCTGTCCCGTCGCGGCCCTATCCGCGTCGAATCCGTGTCGAATCCATGTCGGCCTCGTCGGATCCGTGTCGAATCCGCGTCGAATCCACGCCAAATCTGCGTCGAGTCCGCATCGAGCCCGCGTCGGGCACAAGGAAAGACACCAATTTGGGGGACAAGCGAGGTCCCCCGAAGATGCAACGTAAGATCCGGGGCGAAATGCTGCCCCCGCGGAATCGGCCGGGCGCTCTGGGGTAGCGGCTTGGCAAAAAGCATACCCGTGGACGTCGGGGCCCCTCCAGTGGAGGTTCGTCCACAAGAAACCTTCCACAAGGAACCCAACCCTGAGACCCCAGGGCGTCCATGGATTCTCGGTGCGGGAGCGCCACGCCTTCCACGGCGAAAACCATGGAAACCCCAGGAACCCAGGGCACCCTGGAGGCAAGCAGGGTGCTTCCTGGCTGGGGCCCCAGCCGCAAGTGCCCCGAGGACTCCCCGGAAGGGCGACGAGATCTCTCCATATCCACCCGCCCCCGGCCAGGCCCGTCCCGGGCCCCGGGAGCGGTGCAGAGGCCTCCCGGCTCAGAGGCCCTCGCGTCTTGGGCCCTGGGGGCCCGGGGAGGACCAGAGCAAACCCAAGACGCATCGACGTTGTTGCAATAAACCCTCCCTCCATTTTCTTTTATCCACAGGGCCCTACAAGAAGTCATTTTCATTGCGGGGAATGCCCCGTTGGAAACCGTCTGAGAATCATCCATCTTGCCGGAGCGCCACCCCTTGGACTTCAGCGTCGCGAATCAACGTGAGTGTTGAGTCCTGACAATTCCCAATCGCGCACGTCAACTCCGCGAATCAACATGGCTGTTGCGTCTTGACACTCCAGACCCATGCCAAAACATCATCCCTGGGACTTCGACCATGCGAATCCGCGAACCTCTTGCAGACTTTCAAGACGACCCGGTGGCAGGGATGCGCTCCGCGTGGGCATCCGCGAGAAAGCGCCCCGCATCCACGGGGGCGCGGACCAACGGCCCCGGCCTGGGGGGCCGTGGATATGGACGCGCCTTCCTCCCACGGCCAAGATGCCCCCGAGTTTTCCCCCCCGGGCGACGAGACCTATGCATACCAGCTGGCCCTGGCCAGGCCTGTCCTTGGGCCCAGGAGGCGATTGTTCTTTGGTAAGCTCTGGGGGTCACTCGTGTTAACCCCCCCCCGTAAAGGTGACGCCTGGGAGCAGGCCACAGGCGTGAATCCTTGCAGCTTCCCCAGGACCATGTAGGGACCCCCATGCTGGTCCTACGGTTCCTAACTGAGCTCCTTAGAGCCATCCACTGAAATGAGAGGAAAGAAGAAGAAGAAGAAGAAGCAGAAGAAGAAGAAGAAGAAGAAGAGGAGGCGCACACGGCTGCTGTGGGTGTGGAAGCATCGACGCCAGCGATGCGGTGAACGAAAGCCCTGCGATGGACTGTTTCCCGAGACAGAGAGATCAATAACCACAAAAACTTACATATTGAATTCGATATGTTTGTGGGCCCGCTACGACTTTCTGGAGTTGGTCCTCCCCATCGGGACCTTGGAGGTGTACACAGGCTATGTGGTGTACATAAGCGCTGTGGTTAACGCAGGCGCGAGGGGCTGTGGTGAAGCGGTTGCTGTGGTGGCGCAAGCATCGTGTTGTACACCGTCGTTGTGGTGCACGAAGGCACTGCGGGCCAAAAATAAAGGGCACCATGCCCCAGGCAAGAAAAAATCACAAATGACTCATATAGTGAATGTGATAGGTTCGGGCCTACCGCGGTTTTCCGGAGCTTGGGTCGGGACCTCGCAGGCTTTGTGGTGTACCCACGCATTGCTGTGGTCGCAGTCGCCAGGCGTTGTGATGCACACAGCTGCTGCGGTTGCACATTCATCACGTTATGCGGGCGCTGTGATGCACGCAAGCTCTGCGGGCCAAAAAAACCAAGGCGGACCGTGCTCCAGCCCAGAAAACCGTACATCTTGAGATTGAAACGTTCGGGGCCCACCACGATTTTCTGGAGTTTGGTGTACACAGGCGCTATGGTGCACGCAGGCGTTGTCGTGTACATAAATATTGTGGTGCACGCAGGCGACTGTTGGGCCGGTGCTGCAAGCGCGCCTTGGAGCGTACACGCAGGCCGCTGTTACTGTTACCCGCCCCCGCCGACCCGACCCCCCGCAAGACGAGTTATCACCAATGGATGAAGAATACTGTCTCGAACAGTGTATACGCCCCCTTGCCTTGGCCAGGGGGGCATATCATGGCCTTGACGAGCGAACAACGCACACCCATATTCATAGGCGGGTCGAACGGAGGGGAACTGGCTATGGGTATGGGTGCGAGTTGTCGGACCCTGGGGGAAGCTCCCATTCGAGCGGGGACCCCCATCCGACAACACGCACCCATGGCCTCCTCCGTCCCCCCTATGGGTATGGGTGCGTGTTGTTCGATCGTCATGGCCTGGCCTGGGGCAGTGGATATGAGTATAGATCCCATCGCCCGATCCCAAGCTTCCTCCACGGCCTCCAAGTACACCCCCCACACAGCCCAGCACAGCCCAGAGGGGGACCCGAGGGGCTTCGAAATGGAGGGCGGAAAAACTGGGGACAGCCACTGGGCCTAGGGTGTCCTCAGCCTCTCGCGCCACTTCGGAGCCCCTAGGGGCCCTCTGGGCCTCGTGAGGGCATCTCTGGAGGTCGTGGAGGCCTCGTCGAGAACCACGACACAAAACAGCATGAGCATGACTTCTTTGAGGTCCGCGCGCATCTCTTGGATCGATCTGTGCTAAGAGCCCCCCCCCGCCCTGGCGCGCGGAACGCGCCGGGGGCAGCGCGGGAGGCGCCGCCAGGACGGCCCGGGGCCGCTCCAACTAATCCGCGCGAAACTCTGAGAAATTATGTTTATGAAGGGGCCCCAGGACACACAAATAAATACACACAAATAAAAATGTTCCCCATATTTTCCCATATTTTCTGGGTTTTTGTCTTCCCTCCCACTTCCCATATTTTCCCATATTTTCTGGGAATCGCCGATTAATTGTGTCTATGTGTTTTTTCCCCTCCTGAGTTATTGACTACCTACCAGAGCACCCCAACCCAACGCGAAGACCCGAATTTAGGGGTTGGGGGGGGGTACGGGCTTCATGTGCGTGTGTTTGCTCGAGGTTCCCCGACCCCCCCCCACCCCACCCACTGGAGACATCGAGGGCTAGTCGGAGCCTTCGGGTTGGCCAGGAGGAAACCCTGGGGACACCCACTGAGCCAAGGGGCCACTTCTGCCAGCACCCGCGGAGCCGCGCAAGCGCAGCACGCGGGAGGAGGAGGAGGAGGAGGAGGAGGAGGAGGAGGAAACCGTGGGGACACCCACCGAGCCAAGGGGCCACTTCTGCGGGCACCCGCGGCGCCGCGCAGGCGCAGCACGCGGCCGTCGCCGGAGATGGCCGGGGCCGGCGCCTCGCCGCGCATGTAGGCCGCGAGGAAGTTTTGCATGGACTCCACGGAGTGCCTCTGCTTCGGTGGCGGCTCACGCTGGCCATCGCTCGGACGTCCATTCCCTGTGTTATTTTGTCGGTTTCGTGCGTGGTTTTTTCGCCAAATGATCAAGGATGCTCCTCGATGGCCCTCGCCGAAGGAAAACTGCACACGTCCGAGCGATGCCAAGCACGGGGGCCTCCCGTGCCATCTTGCTGGCTCTTGCGGCTCGACGCTCACCGACGCGAGTCGACCCTATACAGTCGGGGCGTTGACCTAAGGAACCCTAAATAAGGAACGAGGCCCCTTGATCCCAAAAGTTAAGCTTGGATGTCCCATCGAAAACCTCAGGAAAACCCAAGCCAAACTGTAACACAATCAAGGAACACCGAGCCCCTCCCCAACGAGAAGGGTTCCTTCTTCAGCGCCCTGACTGTATTGCGCGAGCGGTGCTTGCACTTGGGGGCTCTCGCTTCTCTTCTGAGGAACCGGACCTGCGTGGCGGTCTGGCGGTTATGCTGCAGCCGTCGCCGACCCGGCGCCGCTTCGTCGCCGGCCGTTCGTCTGGGCCTGTGTGACGGTCTGGCGGCTCTGTTGTCGCCGTCGCCGCCCCGTCGCCGCCTCGTCGCCGCCTCGTTGCCGCCTCGTCGCCGCCCGTCGTCTGGGCCTGCGTGGCAGTCTGACGGCTATGTTTTCGACGTCGCCGCCCCGTCGCCACCTGCCATCTGGGCCTGGATGGCGGTCTGGTGGCTATGTTGTTGCAGTCGCCGCCGCACAACATATAATGCACCACATGTGTTGCACACCACATAAGTTGCACCACCTAGATTGTTCGACATTTACTGACAGTTCTACATATATTCTCCTTCTCTACAGAATACTAGATTCTACCCCCCACCCCCCACCCGGGTCAACGCGTCGCCTTCTCGCATTGTTGCTCGTATATGATTGTGCACACTCGCCCATCTTAAATATGAGCTCTTACCATCCCACGCAGTCACGTCATCGACCCCCCGCCCTCCTCCTCGTCGAATCATACCATGCGGATCACCTTCGTTGATCTGACATGAGCCGTCTTCCGAGTCTTCTCCAAATCGTACCATGCGGGCCACATGCGCGCGTCCGCTGCGCGAGCTTGTCGAAACCCTTCCAACACCATCGGTTGTTGACAGAACAGTCCAACGAACCACACCACAGAGTGGTGTGGATTCGTTGGATTTGTTGTCCCCGGACCCTATGCGTGTGGTTCGTGTGACACCTATGCGGATCCCGATGCGCACGGCGGCGGTGCCCGGAGCGCACTGGGGAGGGGAGTGTCACATCATGGGGGGGGGGGGGCGACGGGGGCCATGACGCCCGTCATGCCCCAAGCAGTAAAGAAACACGCTCCACTTCCCCAGATAAAAACTACAACAATTCTGCTCGCGCGCACTTGCCGAATCCCACAAAAACAACCCATGGTTGTTCAACATTCCTGTCAAATTGGGCTGCGCGGGCAACTTGCACGCGCGTGCATCGAACTCAATCAACTGCATTCGCGCGCTGGCCATAAGCCACGATCCCTGTCAAATGGTACCATGCGGGCCACGCACAAGCGACAGCCGCGCGCGCATGTCGAAATCCTTCGAAACCCATGGGTTTTCAACTGTATCACGATCGAGCTTCGATGAATCATGCGAAGACGCAAGGTCCCAAACAAACAATCAAACTCTTCAAATTTCGGCTCGCGCGCGCGCTGGCTGAATCATTCGAAGAGCTGATATTTGTCCAGTAACATTGTCGAATCAGGCCGCGCGAGCAGACTTCGCGCGCAGGTCGAACTTTTTCAACAGCACTCTCGCGCTGGCCCGAGGCGCGTTACCTTTCACAGAATGCCACGCGGGCCAGATGCGCGCGTCCGCCGCGCGCGCGGGTCGAAATCATTCCAGACCCAATCCTAGTTCAACCTTACGAAAACGCCTGGCGTCCTCGTTAAAAATCGTTCCAAAATTTCAGAATGTCTTAGGACATCATCAAAGTGTCTGCCCCAACCGATTGGTATTTTAGCAATTTCAAGGCCGAGCTTCGTTAAGCCATATAACGAAACAGTACAGTCCAACACAACGCTTCAACATTTCTGGCCGCGAGCTCTTGCAGAACCTGTCCGAAAACCCACAATTCACCACTCGCACGCACAAAACACACACACACACACACACCCGCGCACACACATATACACACACACAAACACGCTTACTGTCGTCGTCGGTAGCGTTCGGTTCTCTGGGTTTTTGGATTCGCGACTTCCTTCTGGGCACTCTGGGGTCTTCTGGGCTTTTCTGAAAGTCTCCCAAGATATCCTGGTTGACTTCCTGGGCGTCGTTGCCGGCAGAAAGCAAAGAAGAACGAGCTAGGGCGTAAAGCCATCCACGACGCGTGTCAGAGACCCGCAATGACTTCGTCTCGATTCGCCTGTCTAGTATATATAACTCCTCGCTTCCTGGTAATCGTTTTGTATATAAATATATATGTTTATATGTACGTATACAAACATATATACATACAAATGTATACATATTATGTATGAGAGTATATCACTGTGTCTCCCTCTTTGTTGTTGCTTTCTCTCTCTCTGTCAGTGTCTCTCTCTCTCTCTCTGTCTCTCTTCTCCTCTTTCTCTTTCCCTTTGTCTCTACCGTCGCCTCCTTCCTCCTCAAGCACTATTCCCCACCGGATATAGCACGTGGCTTCGCTTCTCTTCCATCCTCATCCCCTGCTTCCACCTCCTTCTCTGCCTCGTTCCTCGCCTTCCTCTTCTATGCCCCCCTCTCTCTCCTACCGACTCTTCCGCTTTCCCGGGGCTCCCCTGTGATCACCTTGATGTTGCCTAGGGAGGCCTCGTCGTCATTTGCCAGATTGCAACGGCTTTACGGCCGGTACCGCCGACCCTGAAGGACGACGACGACGACGACGACAACGACGTCGACGACGACGACGAAGACGACGACAACGACGACGGCGGCGGCGGCGGCGGCAGCAGCGGCAGCGGCGGCGGTGGCGACGGATGCGACAACGACGACGACGACGACGCCCTGGAGCTCTTATAGGGGCCCCCTTGGGCGCCGCTTCAAGGGTTTTACAAGGTGGGTGGGATGATTGCGCGAGCAATGGAATTGACAACTTCAACTTCGGCAAGGTGAATAAACAGTACCACATAGATTCTACTGTAAACTTTTAAGATTTACCCCGACCCCCTCGGAGTTAACCACTCCCCTTTTCGTATTGCAATTTACTTACGATTCTGCCCCATCGTCCATCCTAGATATGAACTCGTACCAGGCAAGCCGGCATCGCCCCCACCCCCCATCCTCTGCAAAAAAATATGCGCACACACTCTTTTATCCAAAATCAGCTGTATTCCCCCCCCCCCCCCAAAAAAAAACAACAACAACAACAACAACAAAAACCTTACAACAAATGAGACGAAGTGCACACGCGCGCGTCGTCGCGTGCACATGCCAAAATCCTTCAAGCATCCAGAGGTTTCGCAAGGATTTCAAAATCGAATGCCCCGAAAACATATTCAAACACACGGTATCGCAACAAGAGTTGGAAGAAACAAAAAAGTGTACCGCGCTCGAGCGACACCTTAAGAATACCATAGGTTGTTCAACCATCTCCATAAAATGCTACCAAGCTGGCCTCTCGCGCGCGCATGTCGAGATCGTAGATCGTTCGAACGCCCATGCGCGCGTGCTGTCGCAAGAACCTCTTGCAGAAATAAGCACTGTGCAAACGCGCGCGTGGACGCGCGCAAACTCCGAAACCCTTCAACAAAAACCTGAGGATCCTTCTGGGTTTCGAAACCGAGTGCCCCGAAAACATGTAAAGCCACATGGTTTTGCAACGCCAATGTCCAAACCATACACACATACATACATATATATATATGTATGTATATATATATATATATGTATATGTGTACACACAAATACCTATACATATGCATGTGCATGTGCGTCAACATCTACATATACATCTGCATACACATATACATACCGACATACAGACACACAGACATACAGACATACATACATATGTGCATGCACATCTATGGATTGACTAGAACCATCGCGCGCTTCGCGCGCGCTCAAGTTCTAGTTAGGCTTGATAGGCTACCTCATGTCATCTCATGTTGGTCGCTTCTTGCGTCCAGGGACTCCCTTGGAGGCCCTGCGCAAGCCTCGGAATCATATACAAGGGGAAACGCGGAAGCGCAGAAATCATTAAGTTCCTTTAGGTATTCAACGATTTGGGGCCCTCAAAGGTTTCCTGGGTTCTTTTTCGGTAGGTGAGGGGGGTCTGAATTGTGGTCTGTTGTACAAGAGCAGACCGGGGGCCAAACTTGAAAAAAACAGGAATTGTGGGATTTCCATGTTTTTCCAGTTCCTCGGCGCTGTTCAGCGCTGTTTTTTGTTTGTGCCTCGCGGGTTTTGTTAGCCGGGCCCCTCAGGGGTGTTGGATCTTCCGACCCCCTGGGGGTTCTGGAGGCCTCCTGGAGGCCTGGAGAGCCGTCCGAAGGGTGTCGCGGGCTGCGCGGGAGCGTGTTGGACCGTTCTTTACGTTCTGGGGGCTCCTTGGGGTCGTTATGGGCTGTCCTTCGGCGACTTGGGCTCTCCCCCGGGGAAGCCGGGAGGCGCGGTACCGGCCAGATGTCAGGGGATGTGTAGGACCCCCGAGTAGGAGTCCCACTTTGAAAATAAGAGGGGGTTCTGGGAATCCTGTTTTATTCAAAATCCTCGATCTTCGAGGGTTGGAAGCGGGAAAACGTGAGAAGGCGAAAAACATTAGAAAAAAACATGAGACATCAACGATTTTACCCTCTTTGCGCTCTCTCGGGACGGCTCTTGCAGCTCTCTTGGGCTGTTCTTGGAGCCTCGTCGGGGTCTCTCTGGGGCCTCTCAGGGATCGGGGGTGTGTTGGGGGCCTCTGGGTAGCTCGAAAACGCGAGAAGCCAAAACCATGGAAAAAAACTAATGAAAATCTACGATTTTG